GGAGAAATTCTGTTTCGGTCACTCATGGGAGTTAAAAAGTTACAACAGGAGAAGTCAAAGAGCCAATTTTCAAGGAAATGGAAACTAAAAGACCTACTCTGTCAGTTGACAAAAAGGACTGCTTTTCATCATACCCCCAATAGATATCATCTTTATTGTGGATAGAGTGAAGAACAATTTTTAATCATGCAAATTGTCTGTTTTAGATGATGCACCAGACAAGGACATCTTGGTTCCTAATAATCCCAACAGATGTAACTGTATCATTGATAGAATATTTACTGGTGGCCTGCAGTCAGATGTGACATGTCAAGCTTGCAAGTAAGTCATTACCAAATCCAGGGATCAAGAAATTGAAGAGCTCTCTTTCTTTCTATCACATGGGTAAAGGGTCATATGATTTTTTTTGACTTTCCTGGTGATAGACTTGTAAAATTGCTATGAATTAATTTAAACTTTATTAATTAAGTTTTTTCTCCCATAGGTGTGTTTCAACCACCATTGATCCTTTCTGGGATATTTCTCTAGACCTTGGAAATGTTGATCATAGTAATGGAAGAAGCAGTTCTGGTGCGTCAGCTGCATCAACTCCAGACCCCACCCCTCCAGGTACATTACAATAACATCAGATAAATAGTAGTGTAAAAGTGACATATCTGTACTTTTGAAATTCAAACTTTATAGATTTCTTTTAATCACTTGCTTTAAAACAATTAAGAATTTTATAGTTTAATTCTTGTCCTTTTCCTCTGGTTCAACTATTTTAAATACAGATTTGTCGGTCAAGCACAAAATTGTACATACATAAGATGAGAGTGCATAAACTAAGAGTAAATTTTAAATTCAGGCAAGGATGGAGCTAAGCAGAGGTGTTCTTTAGTGCCAGCAACCCCTTCCTTGTCAGGAAAATTTGACAATGGCTAAAAACAAAAAAAACCCTTGTATGCCTCTAACTCCCATGAGTGACCAAGACAGAATCTCTCCTTACAATATCATTACAATATCAAGCAGACAAGTAATGAGGAAAAAGAAAAATATCAGCAAAGGGATAATTAGTTGATCCAAGTTCTCTAGACTAACATCTTGATAGCAGTATGGTGCAGATTACATTGGGAAATGTTTAAACTGGCTTGATTCAGTCAATTTATTATTGTTCTGCAGATGAAAATGGTCAATCAGCCCCAGAGAACAATCATCATGATGAAAGCTTTGTTCCCAAATCACTTATTGAATGCTTGAGAAGGTAAATGGATATAAAATACTCTTTTTTTTATGGATTAATCTTGCAAAGTCACTTATCTCACCTTTAGTACTTAAGGTTTGTCATGATCTCTCTGCAGTTGACAATATGGTCATTATTTAATGGTACCATGCTTGTGACATAATGAGTTCTTTCATTTTAAGATTTACAAGACCCGAAAGGCTTGGTAGTGAAGCAAAAATAAAATGTAGTCAATGCCAGACATACCAGGTAAGTGTATGGAAAGCTACATGGCATAGAAATACCAACAGTGATTGCTCAAAATGGCAACCCAACCACCAATGTGTGTATGTGTGGTAGGTGGCGAGTCACCTTAAATTACTGCAACACAGAGGTGACTATCCCTACAATAGAGGGTGTATTAGTCTTTGATATTAGTCTTGAATCTCTTTCCAATTTAGAGGTCACTATCCTTACAACAGAGGGCATATTAGTCTTTGATATTAGTCTTGAATCTTTTTCCAATACAGAGGACATTTTTACTCCCAACCAACAGATACCAGACCTTGTTTTTGTGCTGGCCATGCTTATATAGTTTTATTATTATTATTTTCATACAGGAATCTACCAAGCAGTTAACAATGAAGAAATTGCCTATAGTAGTTTGTTTTCATTTTAAGGTAACATCAGCCACTGATTATTATTGTCATAGCAACTATTGAGACTTAAACTTCAGAGTAGAATTCATCCATGACTGGTTATGCTTCAAGTCCATCTCAAAGACCCCGCATGAGAGAATTGGCTACCCAATAATAATTGCACCAGCTCACAGGGCCATTGTTTTGTGCATTTATGCCAGACTCTATCCTGACAGTGCATCTTTCAACCTATGAACTGTGACTAATACTGGTGAACTAATAAGAAATTCTACTGAAACTGAATGCAAAAATCCTGGTGGATTGCCTTTGATGGACAAGCAATCCATAAAAGAAGAGCAGTGATAAAACCAGGCTTTGCTTTTAAATTAGCTGCTGTTAGGCATTATAAGCTTACGTATACTGTTCTTCTAAGTAGCCCTGGTGAAGCCTAATGCTGATCAGCTTTTTCCCTTCTGAAAGTCGTCAAACCTCTCATCCTTCTTAAAGTCGTCAAACCTCTCATAAATCAATTTTATTTACTGTCTTATTTGTCATATGTTGTTCGTTTGCTTGCAGCGTTTTGAACATTCAAAGAAATCCAAGAAAATTTCAACGTACATCCCTTTCCCGCAACAACTAGACATGGCTCCATTTATGGCATCAAGGTGGGTGACCCTGCAACAATACGTACTGATGTGATTAAAATATTTCAAATACCAACTGATACAGACAGACAGATGGACATACTGACAGACAGGTAGACTGACAGACCGACTGATCCAATTACTGACTGACTGACTATCTGACTTGATGACCGATTGTTTCGTTACTTGTTTGATTGACTGGTTGGCTGACTAATTGATTTATTTTTTTTGAAGATTGAATGGTAATGTTGATCACAGTCAGCCCACCTTCCCATGTGATGCGAAGTAAGTTCTCGTTCACATTTTTGGAGTCATGTGGATGTATCTGACGCGACTAACCAAGTTCATATAGATGACATTTCTAAAAGATCCAAAAAAAACTTAGCCTCAACTACATGTAAATATTAAAGAGATAACGAACAATTAAATACATCAGTGTGATATGCTTTATAATGTTACTGTTATATTCCTTGGATAAGGTCTTTGTAAGTTTCCCCCTGGTAATGCTGTGGTATTTCTACTTGTCGGTTTTCCTCAGGTATACTTTATTTGCTGTCGTGAACCACAGTGGTACATTAGAAGTTGGTCACTATACGTGTTTCATTCGTCAACAGCAGCAGGTCTGTAGCTTAATTGCCTCTAGGTGTTTTACAATAATTTTCAATCGTAACTTAGTAATCCGAGATTGCATTGGTTTGCTTTTGCTTCGCTCTGTGATTGGTTCAGAAAACTCGCTCCACTCTCAACCAATCGGATGGTGAAATGAAACCAATCACGACTTGGTCGCCCGCGTTTCCCGCGCTTTGGGCAGTTTGCTTGTTCTTACTCTGAGTTCTCATTGGCCCTAAACGAATTTTCCTTTTTTCTAATTGGCTGTTGAGATTATCTTGGTTTTGGATTTACGACCGTCAATCGAAAATTGCTCTAAATGCGTTTCATGAATGCTGGGTTAGAAAGAAGCATAGTCCCCACTGTGTATTTACGACTGTAAACGTTTGAATCCTCTCAAAATCTCTTTCTTATTTGTACATGTAAAAGGTTAAATTCATCTAGACTCTCACCTCCTTGTTATTCAGATCATGTCGGGTAGATCGATTTTTTTTTTTACAAAAGATCTTTTTGAAAAAAGTGTTCGTTATTTGATGGGGCATAACAAAGGTCATGGTTTTCAAAGAATCCATGAGTAGTCTCAGCAGTTTTTCATCCGAAGGACTAAAATCTCAAGAAGTCACCTTCGGCCTTAAGGAGACTCAAACCACTTGGCCCAGTTGTATAAAGGTTGGATAACGCTATCCGGCGGATAAGTGATAGCAAAACGTATAGCGTTGTCCACCAGATAGCGATTTATCCAATGGATAGCGTTATCCAACCTTTGAACAACCAGGGCCTGGTCGTTCCTTTATTTTCTGTTAATTTTTCGCATAATAAGGGAGAGGCAGAAGTGGAATATCGTTTGGTACTTACTCTTTAACCGACCGGCTTCCAAATTTTTTGTGCCCAATTCTGCTGCAACTTAAACTTAAAACCTTTTCAATTTCAGTCTGTGTAATCCACTTTCTTGGTTTGACAATTATCTTTTTTTGCTAACATTTTTTTTCTTAGTGGTTTAAATGCGACGATGCATGGATCACGAAAGCTACGTTGGATGACGTACTTCAGAGCGAAGGGTAAGATATGAGACTCTTCGCTCTCTCTAGAGCATGCGAAGTTTTCAGTTTAGTTGCGAAAGTGATCTGGATTGCTTTAGTTTTACTTCGCTCTGTAATTGGTCTACCAAACTCGCGCCACTATCTCAGCCAATTGAATGCAAGACTTAAGCCAGCCCCAACTTGTTCACTCGTGTTTTCCCGCGCTTCAAGCAGGTTGCCTGTGTCTACTTTGAGTTCTGATAAGATGACATCAACTTTTTTTTCTGATGGGTAGTTGTAATTACTTTGGTTTTGGTTTTCGGAACGGTGAATGGTGCAACATTCAGACACCGCGACGCAAATGGAAAATTTTCGATTTGGTGTCAACATTTTTCGTTACTTTTAAAATAATGATAAAATGTGATATACGTTTAACCATTTTGTTGTTTTTTATTTCAGATATCTACTTTTCTACCACAAGAAAGTCCTTGAATACGAATGACTGCGTAGAAGTGTAAAAAAAGTCAGATCAAAGAGTCAGATCAAATAAGATTATCACCATGTTCTTTCATAAATTACCCAAAAAATTGTACATTTTGATCAATACTGTTTTCATGTCAATGCTTCAAGTGAAACAAGCCTCCCTGCCGTTTTGGTCGAAGAACCCATGAAGGCTCCACACAAATTACTTTCTTGGCAAAAGTGGTTGTGCAAATCTACTCTTTTGCTCAGCTGTCAAAAGTCTCTTAAAACGTTCGGTCTCTAATCTTCAAGGGACAATAAAACTTGGATCTTGTTATCGAAAGGACTTTTAAATTTGACCAATAATTTTCGTCATCGGAAGGAGACATTGTGCAAAACTCGTTTTATAAATTTTGAATACACTTACTATGCAAGCTTTACAGCGTTTCAAATGATAATATAATTGGAAAATCCCATGCTTTTTGTTGAAGAAATTATCACCCTTTTTGAAAGTGAAAATATGATTTTACACAAGAACTAGTGACACTAAGTGTCATTTCCCTTACTTGTCACATAAAATCTCTTCAGTTGTGGGAGAATAAGCAAACCTTTTATTCCATGTAATTGCTTTCAAGCCCCCAACTCTATCATTTTCTCATTTTCTTTAATTAGTTTGATAACTTAATTTCTTACATAATACAAAGTTGTTAATGAATAATAGATTTATAAAAATTATTTGGTATTAATATGTAGGAATGTATTTATTTGAGGTGCTTTCGCTGTGAAACAATGTTTTTTTTCCGGTACTCTCCGATTATCAAATAAAAAACAACTTTGAGAACACTTGTTATTTGATGATCCTGACTAAAATGGCACGGGGCCTTTCATCCATTTTCGTTTCTCCTTAGGGAATATTATCCCTTAGATAGCAAAGTCTCTCTCTCTCGGGGGAGAATGAGAACTCATTCATTCCATTATACTTTCTCTTTAGAAGAAAATAACAATGTTGTCTTCTTTTCGTTTCTTACCCTTACCAAAAGAAAAGCAGTATCTCATATTAACTGTTTCTTGTTTTTACATGCGGGTCTGTTAGAAACATAATTTTCTTTCTTCTCGATTCTTTATCGCTCTGACGAAGGGCAAAAGCTCAGAGCGTCAGCTTTGAAACTCTTTACAGTGGCCAATTTACGTTATAAACTCAGTTGATAATACTTAATTACCCTGTTACACTCTCTCACCGACACAGCACCACAGTTTCTTTAGAAAACTTACCCCCTTTAGTCTTCATGAGATGGTTGAGCGTGATCAGCTGATCATTGGCTGATTTGGTTAATCCATATTCATCAAAAATTTAAAATTTTCAGCAAACTACGCTTTTTGCCAAAGAGTGAGGACATGGCACCTCTTGTGATGAAGATGAAGTAGAACTTTGGATGGAATAAGACACCTTGAACTGTACTGAAAAGCAGTGAAAGCGCTCCTCAACAGAAGGTAGGGTTTCCTTTGAAAAGTATCGCCGTGAACTCTTAGAAATACGAACGAGTTGCAAATTATTCGTTTAACGAATGAATAACACGTGTTCGTTGGTTCGTCTTAGTGACTCTTGCGTCGGTACAGCAGTTAAATAATACTGTCTTGCGTTCCTGACGGAGCACAAGACAAATTTTGATAGGATTCAACGCCGTCTTTTTATCGAATATCACTGCAATAAAATGTTATTGAAGCTAGATTGAATACGCTACGGGGATGTTTTAAACTGCTTTTTCAAACCCCTTTAGTATTTCTCAGAACAAATAAATAGAACCGTTCTCTACATCAATAATCCTCGTAAGCACTGCTATCTCACATAAACTCATCTTTCAAACAGTTATCAGTCCCTCATCCAATTTTACAATTCATATTTCAGGAGGGGGAAGGTTGTTAGCTGATGGAAAAATAAAGAATTGGGGCAAGGAATCAAGAGGAATCACAAATTTCAAGAGGATACTACAAAGATAGGAACCTTAAATTATTGAGTAAGAGTAGCAAAAATGGTGACTATCAAGATTTCTTATTTCCGCAAGAAGACTTAAATCTTCCCAATTTGACTTGTGCCTTGAAATGGTTAGAATTGTTCGGTTCATATGGCCACCATTTTTGGATTAATTTGTGATGGTACAAACTGTTCAGCAGACCCAAACAAGTCGAATGAATGAGTTAACTTTGCTAAACAAAAAATAGTTTCTTCATCAAAACCGAAACAGAAACCAACACGGTGCCATTTTAAAAATTGTAATTACTATTTTGTCACATCAACTGAGAAAGGGTTAAGATTGCAGATTGCAGACTGCAGGAGGACATTGCCTTTAAAGTCGTGACCGACTCTAAGGTTTCTTCAAGAAATTATACACTGTGTCAAGATCTATAAGCTTTGTTGTTTAACTTCTTTTTCCTTTTTAATTGAGACCTTGTTAAACCAATGTCCTCCTGTCGTCTTGGAAACCATCTGTTTTAAACCCTTAATGGCTGGTCACGAGAACATAAAAAAATACAGTCCCTCTCTACTAAAAATGTACCGTTACACAAACCAAATTGAATGGATCTTTGTGGTAGTAACGAGAAAATACAGATTTTTGATCATTCGAGATGGCTACATTTCCCAATTTTTCCCAAACACGTAGAAAAATAGACATCAGATTGGACGAATAGGTATTTAAATATGCTCATTTGTCAAATCATAACGTACAAACCGTTTATTGCTTTTGTTTTACTTCGAAGAAATCTAGATTTTATTCCTGAAAAGAAATTAATCAAAGATGAACACTTGTGTGGAAATAATTGTTGAGCAATTATCATTACCCTGAGTTTGTTATTAACTCGTCATCAAAGAGTATGGGTGGGGTTTCTGAGAGTTTGCTGAAACAGAATCATCAAACTTTTTTCTCCAGTGAAAACGAAAGCAGCATATGTAAGCGTCGTGATTTTAATGAGTGTATCGAAAAGATTCTTCTTCCAAAATGGGCCATTTTTTAGAAATACGTTACCTATTTTTCGCGTGTTCATTTCAATGGTTTGTGCAACGATGTTTCCTTAGTTAGAACATGAACGTTAATGTTGGCAAAACTTTTTAGTAAACTTCGATTCGACAAAACAATCGTTAAAGTTAATTTACGTACCAGGCATTTGGTTTTATAATGTAACGTAGTTAATTTGCTCTTGAGGTGGAAGGAAGTCCTATTATGCTCGCTGTTATTCGGTGTAACACAGGAAAACAGTTAAAAAAAATTCTTCCAAACTTGGTGGTTTTGACATCTAACGACTGAATTTGTAGGTTTAAAAAGCGACACAACGCTTGATATAAAATAAGATAATTTTCAAGCAAGAGCGCGAGATTAAATTGAATTTCTTAGCCTTTGTAGCCATAACCAAAGTTTTCAGATTACCAATAAGCTTTGAATTCCAAAATATTATTTCTTTGTTTTAGTACACGAAACAAAGCTCTTGTGGCTAAAACAGCACAAAAACTATTTATTACTATAATTGAAAAAATTGTGAAAATTTTTTTTGATAGAAAAAATTGCCTCCAATATTCAGTTCCAAATGTTCCAAAAAAGTTGCCTCTAAATTCATTTCCAAATATGTGATAACTTTTTTGACGCTCTTCATCTTCTGTTCTGTGTTGTATTCGATAACTGCTTTAAAGATCCTTCATCCTGAAAAAAAGACATCATGGCAAATCATAGGATTATAAAAAGAAAAACTGTTTGGGTCGGTCTTAAAGCATTATCATGGCAAAAAAATAAAATAATTCAATTTTAATGAGAAATTACTGGATCATCTATATCATTGCCAAGGTCACGGCTTTTTCGTTCAAGACTGTTATTAGACAGCGTCTCGTGCGAAAAACGTCTGTTTAAATTATTTAGTAAAAAGATAGGCACACTCGGGGAAAATGGGTCTTAGTTTTTTCGTTAATTATTATTCCTTTTTTTAACTTTCTCGCCCAAGACACTGTTAAATAAGTTTTGGAGGAAAACTTTAAAAGTTGACCTGTTTAAATTTTTGCCGACATAGTTGCCAGGGGAAACGCTGTGCAAATTGTTCCCAGTCTTTTTGAAAGAAATTTTCGTATATATATATAGATAAATCTTGATTATAGTCTAACCTTGCGATAATATCTTAAAATTAATTTCACATTTTAAACAGATTAAAATCTGTTTGATGATCGCTTAGGCGTGAAACTCAGAGTCACAGAAAAGTTATGTCTTATTGATTTGTCAACTTTCAGATATATATATATACCTAAGAAACATTTTTCAAAACACCTTTTTAATTTATTCAGTTAAATACTTATAACCGTCAAGATTTTGAACCAAATAAATGAATTTGCGTCATGAAACAAGTGTGGTTTACTGAGTATATATTGAACGACAATTAAATATTACACGGACCACTGATTCATCGACAATTATACAGTAAGTTGTTAAATGTTAAGTTTATTCGTAAATTCATCTACAACATTAAAAAAAGGAAAAAAAGAAAGAAAATCGGCACATACGTATTGAGCACCAAATTTTTTCCAAATCTTTTGGCAGGAAAATTCGCCACAGTTGAACAGATGTTACTTAAAGAATTCACGTATATTGGCAGGAAATTTAAAACTTTTGAACAGCCCTTAAAATGAAAAAAGAAAAGAAAATGTTTTCTTTTAAGTTGAAATAACAGCTCGGGAAATAAGATTCGCTTATGTTCGGTTTCCCATCTTTGTTTTTAGCAAATTAATCTTAGCTCTGACTCTTGTGTATTCTTGAGAAAAGCGGACTGCATCTTTAGTACCTCTCAATAAATATTGTCTTTCCCTTTGATCATGTTTTTCTTTTTTAAGTCGTGCGTGAAGCATCAAAGACCTGCAGTCTGTAAGAAATAGACAAAAAAAAACGATGAATAAAGAAATACAATTGACTATACGCCTTGCTTACATTGATCCATAATGATTACGTGTGGGTTGCTCCAAGAATACGGATGTCACTCTAATCTGATTATTTTACACGCATATAATTAGTATTATATTCAATATTCATCTAACTTCCCCCAATTAGTGTAACGTACACGTACTAACCGGGATATACCGATAAACTCAGCACGATCGCAGATAAATATTCGTGAAATTTTAATGCTTTTATCGTCGAAAAAGACTTAGTTAAATTTTAGCTTTTTCTTCTTGTATTCAGGGACTGAGGTATTTGATGCATGCAGAGCTCACAGGTTATAAACTACTAATTCAGGCCTCAACGAGCGATCACTCCTTGTGCCAGTCAACAATACCTCAAATCATGAAACAAAATTTAATTTTACATAAATAAAGTTTTTCTTAAAATTATAGTTTTCAACCGTTTTTAGTTTTTAAAAGTCCATATTAATCTTCTAGGCGATAGATAACATAACATAGAATAACATTATTTTTGCAAGCTTCTGGTAACACTAAATAACCACATAATATATGTATACTAGTACGTGGAAAAGTTGTGAATATTTAAAAAAAAGAAAAGAAATAAAAATCTTTTAGCTCCATTTTTCAACAAAGAAAAACTGAATGCTCTTGGGATGTAAACGGATGAAAAAGGTTGCTAAAAAATATGAGAACAAAGACCGCGATTTTTGGAAGCCTACCGAGATCGGTTTTAGCCACAAAAGGCCTGAGTTTTTCTATTAAATACTCCAGCTTAAATGAGTTGATTTACAACAAAGCTGAATTGCCAACCTTAAAACATATTTCCTTCAACTCTGTCTTTTCTTGATGTCAAGACTTTTTTGCGCGTTTGATGCTCCCCCAATGGGATTGTAGTCCACATTTTTGACAACGA